AGAGCACGCACCCGATAGCAAAACCCCATAAAAAAAAAAAAAAAGAAAAAAGAAAGAAAGAAACACACACACAATGAGCTATCAGTTCACACCAGTTAGGATGGCTATTATCAAAGACAAGTGATAAGTATTGGCAAAGGTGTGGAGAAAAGGGAACCCGTGTACACTGTTGGTAAGAATTCTAACTGCTAGTCATTATGAAAACAGTATGAAGGTTCCTCAAAAAATTAAAAACAGAACTACCATTTGACTCAGGAATCTCACTGCTGGGTATATACCCAAAGGAAATGAAATCAGTAGTTCAAAGAGATAGCCATACTCTCACATTCAGCATTATTGCAGCATCATTTGCAATAGCCAAGACATGTAAACAATCTAAGCATGTCAACAGATGAACAAATTAAAACAAACAAACAACTAGTATACTACAGTCAATGAAATATTCAGCCCTAAACAGTGGGAAGAAAATGCTGCCATTTATGACAATACGGATGAACTTTGAGGGCATTATGCTAAATGAAATTATGTCAAAGATAATACTCCACAATCTCACTTAAATGTGGACTCTAAAAAAAGTAAAACGCAGGGGCCAGCAGGTGGCATGGCGATTAAGGTCCTGGACTCCCACATGGCCCACTGCAGTTGATCCCAGACCTGGTGGCTTGCTTTCTCAATTTCCCTCCCTCTCTTTTTCTATGGTGAGCATAAGAGCCTTACAGTACATTGAAAATAATAATAATAAATACAAAGTTTTTTTTTTAAAGTCAAACAAATAGAAGCAGACAGAAGAATAGAATGGTGGTTGCCAGATACTGAGGGAAGGAGGAAATGGAAAGATGAGGGTCAAAGGTACACACTGGCAATTACTGGATGAATTCTGGGGAATCTAATGTACACCGCAATGACTATATTTACCAATACTGGATTATATACCTGAAATCTTTAAGAGAGTAGGTTTTAGAGGTTCTCATTACAGACACAAAGTTTGCTGTTATCACATAATAGACGATAACGGCAATCGTTGCATCAAATACATTGTACAACTTAAATGCATACAATTTTGTCAATCATACCTCAATACAACTGGAGGAAAATAGAAAACCTGCTGCTGTCTATTCCTTTGGTCATGGTCTTCCCTGGGTACCAATAAGTAAGATATAAACGAGGTGACAAGTGGAGAAGCCTGATGTTGGCCAAATGCAGCAGATGCCTGGACTCTGCTGTTGATTCTAAGACAATGGCTGGTTCAGTAAGAATATGGTGACCATTTACTGGCATCTGCTGAAGGCGGTGAGGGTGAAGAGCAGCAGCCCAGCACTTCTGCCAGCCCTGCCTAGGTTACAAAGGGAGGCTGTCATGTTGTGCCATCTTGCTCACACTGGGCTCAAACAGAGAAGAAAATCCTGCTTCTAGGGCTTAGGCATCCAAATTAAAGGCAACAGTACATGTAAGAGTAACATTAAGTGCAAAGGTACCCAGTTTAAAGAGGCAGAATCTAAATACTACCTGCTAGCTAAGGCTTTAAGATTCCCAAGTGAAAAAGAGTAATATTCCTGTCACATTGTATTAAGAGTCCAATTTGGACAGATTTCCTCAAACATGTGATAGCTCTATCTCAGGAAGCAGAGGAACAAGCTAACAAAGATATATGAAATGTTAAGAAAGTAGAAAAAACAAGGCACTTATTGCAAGAATAACAACTCTAGAATCCTCCTAAAGAAGGAAGGAAATAAATATTAAATCTAAAAAATAATACCAGTATAAACAGTTGTGAAATCAGTTTACAAACTCAATGACATGGGGAGGGGGATCAATACCTGCAGTCCACAGCACTTCTGCCCATATGCAAGTAAGTAAGCTCTTAGCAACTGAATGGAAAACAGACCAGTGGTGCCTTCTCAGAGGTAAGTCTCTCTCTCTCTCTCTCTTTTTTTTGGGGGGAAAGATTTTTGCTATAGGGCGCATGTGACTACCAGAGAGCCAGGGAGAGACAGAGATAGGAAGTGAGAAATCAACCTCCAGGGTGGATGGCCATGCTGCAATCCCTTTTCCTCTCAGGATCTTGGGCATGCACACACCCGCACCCTGGGTGAGTTTTAAGTCGCAGGGTCTGGGACTCGAACAGTGGTCAACTACATGGGAATCCAGCAAAGTAACCATTACGCCACTGCCAGTCCTTTTTTTCTTTCATTTCTTTCTTTTTTTTTAAGAGGTGGGTCTGTTCAAGGCCAAGAGACTCAACTCTCTATTTTTCTGGAGAGGATTTTTGCCATAGGGCGCGTGCACTCACCAGAAAGAGAGAGAGAGAGAGACAGACAGACAGAAAGCAAGAAATCACCCTCCTGAGGGGATGGCCACACCACAATCCCTTCTCCTCTCAGGATCTTGGGCATCCACGCACACATGCCCAATGTGAGTTTAAGCCACCAGGTTTAGAGCTAGAATTGCAGTCAACTACGTAGGAGCCAATTGACAAAGCCATTACACCAACTGCTGGTCCCAAGAGACTCTACTCTCAATCCCACCACCCTTGCTTTAACTAGAAATAGGTACTAAACATATTTTTCTCTCAAAAACACAGACCACCCTCCAGATCAGCAGGTTCTGTATCCATGGACTCAACCAACTGTGAACTGAACATGTTCCACTGCTGCTAACACGTCCGCGGGGGGGGGGGCCTGTGATGGTTGTGTCTATACTAAATTATTCCCTAAACAAAACAGTGTAACAACTCTTCACATAGCATTTAAACTATACTAAATATTACAAGTAATCTATCGGGTTGGCAAAGTCATGACACAGTTTTGCATAGAAAAGTATGGTATGAGGCCGGCAGGTGGCATGGTAGCTAAAGGCGCTGGATTCCCCCATGGCCGACCATGGTTCAAGTCCTGGACCTGGCGGCTTGCCTTCTCTCTCTCTCCCTCTGTCCCTCTCTGGTCAAATGGAAATAAACAAATTAATTTTTAAAAGTTACAAATAAAATAATTCTTAAAAAAAAAAAAAGGTATGACTTTCCCAGTGCCCCAATAAAAATTATGAGAGACATGGGGAGATGTGTAGATTATATGTAAATACTATAAAATGATAATAAAATATCTGGCTCTCAGCTTCTCTATAAAAAAAAACTTGTGATTTAAAATGCCAGGCCAGCCTCATAGCCTAGTGGGTAAAAGGAGAGGGAGCCCACATGACCAACCATAGTTCAAATCCTGGC